GGAGGCAATGTCTCCTGCTATGACAGGATATCACAAGGCCAAGGCCTGTGCATCTGTGCTTGTTCTTCTCTTTTTCTTCCTGCTCTTCTCCTTCTTTACCTTCAAAGAACAGCCTAATGGAGACCCTACGGCTGTTATCATGAGTTGGGGCCATTCTTTTTCGGTTCTTACAGATTTGTTTTTCTTCATGTTCATACAATGTGTGACATTATATTTGGCCTTCACACCATTCTGATATTGAAAAAGTGAGCAGCACACCCAGTTTTAAGTTTATTCCTGGTTCAATATTGCTTTATTTTCAGACCATTCAAGGGAGCCTTGTAATAAACAAAGTCATGTGTGTGTAATTCTATATTTTTCATCTTCTTGTTGGTAAAGCTGCATGTGCCTTTGGAAAATAAAGTTAAATATTTACCCTAGCTCAACCACCCCTATCTGCAGAGTTTATGTTTTGTTGGAGTTTGGGCAAGTAAGCGGTGTGTGCAGAATTCCCTGCCTGCCTCTTCTATTGTAAAATGGATTCACGAAAGCCTGTTTTTTTTTCACACAGAATATTTTCTATCTGGCCTGAGATCTTATCAGCCTGGGAAGATGGTGAATCCACATGTGATGATGCATTAGGCTTATGTCTGGGACTGGGTTGTCTCCATCGGTGGGCAGCAACCTATATGCAGAGGGATCTGAGGAGCAGCCTCAGGACCTGGCAGATCCAAGAGGCAGACTATAAATTGCTCAGCAGCCCTGGCTCAACAAAGTCTCTTTGCCAAGCTAAAGTCAGCATACCAAGCCAGTGCTCAAGGCCTTCCTGCCTCGGCCAGCTGTGACAGCTCCACTGAAGACTCGTGGACAACATGCTCTCTCCCACATGCTTTTCATGCATGCTTCTCAGAAAAAGGCTGCTCTGTTACACGGCCCCCTGGGACACTGTGAGCTGCCCAGAACATCTCAGCTGGGATGTTTTCAGGCACCTATATTCAGGCTTCAATTAAAAAACAAAAATACACCAGCAACCCCTTCCTGCTCTCTCCCTTTCATCTCCCTTCCTTCTCCACCCACCATGACTTCAAGGCATTGGTCTTCAAACTGCTTCAAATCAAAGCAGACACAGTGATTGGACTGATGATACAGTTCTAATCCCATGGAGACATGTTTCTGTTAGGTCTCAGGAGGACAGAGTCTAAACAGCAGCCACATCTGTGCAGCTGAAGATTTCTCCCACCCAGGGAAGCTCTTAGGGTTGCCAACAATCTTGCTGGCTGTACACAGAGGGAGATACCTGCCTGCAGGGGGAAAGAAGGAAGCGGAGGTGGCACGATTAGTGTTCATTGCATGTAGCTGGCTCATGGCTTTGTAGGAAACATGGCCAAAGGGTGGCCATGGGGTGCCAAGAAGGCATGTAGCAACCATGAGACTCAAGATGCTACAAACAACTCTTCATTTGCTTCTTCCTCTAGCATAGAAAACTCTTTCAGGCTTTCTGTCAGCCTTCCTCAGGTACTGAGAAGTTTCTCCTCCGTGAAACTTTCTCCTCAGTTTCTTATGGGCTCTAAAACCAGTGCCTCTGGAGAATTTTTGTGATAATGATTTGGATTTATCGATGTTACCCTATGAGATGGAAGAAATGTCCAGCAGGCCTTTTATCATCATCACAGAACATGAATCCCTAAGTGTCTAGCAATCACTCTGTGTACTTTGCTCTCTCGAAAGGATCTGTTACCTGTGGTGCAGTATGTGCATGCTTTGTGGTAGCACATAATAACACCCAATATATGCAAGACAGAAAGATTCTGTATAGTAAATCCATGCAAATGCAGAGCAGAATCTGGCTTTAAGACCTTCATTTCTGGCTGAGATGATCAGCACTGTGAAGTCCACAGTCAAATGTGACTTTTTGCATACATCACAGCCCTTGCTCTTCAGAGGTTTGGTCTTTTACAGGGGCCACCATGAAGCTCAGAGTTAACTCCAGAGTGGATGTCCTCAGAGTCAAAGTACACTTACGTTTTAGAGGACAGGACAGGAAAAAGGTAGGATGTCATTCGGGTGCCACCTTACATCTGCTCTGAGGACAAAAAGCTCATCTTGATTGTGTAAGGAAGGATGAATGTACAGAGGGGAGAAAAAAAATTCTACAGTACTGATGTGAGTTGTGAGGGGTTCACGTGACAGAAAATATCAGAAATCTAGGTATCCTAAGCTAATCTTCTAGGTCTTGCCTGTACTCAGCGGAGTGCAGTAGATACCTTTGTGGGAACTGTATCTCATCCTCTTCTTTCAGAAGGGAGTGTTAACAATGGAAAAAAGCAAGATCTGCTTGGTGTAGGAATTGAACTTCTAGATTACATAAATCCCATCCTAAGCATCCATCCCACTGATGTGCAGCAAGACTGTGGTGAACATTAATACTGGGAGTGGATGAGAAGGAGGAAAAAGGAACTGCAAATCTTTTATCATGGAGTTTCTGTACCAACTTCCCTAAACCATTGGGAATTTATTTATTTATTTGTTTATTTTGAGGGAAATGGTTCAAAATAAATCCTATACCCTGCTTGTTTGGAGCTAAAAAATGAAGGAGAAGGAGTTGATTCTACTACAGCTGCTGGGTTTTTGTTTGTTCCTTCCGGTGAGGCTGGAATTTGAAATACTCATCATCAAAAAATAATATCAGGCAGAAATTGACTAAAAAACAGCAGGACTTCTTCATTCCTGGGCCAGTGTTGAAAACTATGTTGGCTCTCCTCACTCAAAGCAAAGGAAATCTGGCTTTGTTTAGAATTAACTGCTTGTTTGCCTATTTGTTTTTGCCTACTTATGATCCCTCTGACATTTGCACGAAGAAGGGCTCTGGCCTGGTTCAGGTGAAAGCTCTCTAAGACCAAAAAAATTCTTCTTGTCCCAATAGGGGAAGTCAGAAATCCTAACCTAGAAGGGAGAGTGGACACTGGAAATATGAAAACTCATTCACTGGAAAGCTACCAATGTCTACGAGTGCTGAAATGAAAACATGACACAACAGATCAGTCAGCACTTACTACTGAATAAATCAGCAGGCTTCAGACTTAATCGCTGCAGCCATCCATGAACTCTCACAGAGTGTAGAAACACTGTTAGTTCTGCTTAGAACTTTTTTGGTTTGTTTTTTTTGGGGGGGGAGGGATGATGTTCATTCATATGGTGGGAGGATCACATGCTGTATTGTTTTCTGCCTGGCAAATGTTGTCACCTGAAGAAATGTGAAGAGAAGAAGCATAATTGTTCAGAAAGCTGTTAGAGTAAGAAAATGAAGAGAGAAAAGGGAGAAGATATTGAGAATTTGAACTCTCGTAATGACACAAGCAGGAAGATCAACACATGCATCCCAAGGGTGAGCTGTTCTTCCCAAAAGGTTGTCTGTGACCAACCAGCCATAGCATAGGTTATAAAACATGTAGTAGGATCTAAGATTTCGGGGTGAGTGTATGGTCATACATGTCGTGTGATGGGTCTCTCAGTACTGCTCTGAGCAGAGCCGACACCACAAGATCACAAAAACCACCTCCAGGAGAGCAGGATCCTGCTATTGATTCACAATGTGGAAAAGGCCCCGTTTTAACTCTTGCACTTGTTTCATACGGTGTGCTGCTATAGATGGGTTTTCCCATTTCAGATGTACTTCTTGCTTCCACTTCCCTGAATTTATCCTTCAGCTTTTCAGTTTGCACGTGGGAACACTAATAAAAATGAGTACTATTAAAATAATCCAGAAATATTAGTAATTAAAGTAAGTAATGAGTGATGATGAGTATTATGAAAGCCAATAGAACGTTCTTTTTGCCTCAGCTGAAGGCAAAGAGGAGCACCATGTTGCTTTTTTTCATTGGGCATTACAACACAGATGGAGCAGGCACATGAGAACAATTTTCAATGGTCTTTTGGGTAAAGTAAGTCACAGTGGGCTTTCAATGCAGTGAGGAAAATAAAAAAATGCTTTGGTGGGCACAGCTGCTTTGTGTGCTGCTGTTGCAGTGACAGATCCCAGCTACCGGGTACGAATCTTCAGGTCTATCCACGAGGCTGAAAAGCAGAAAAGATGCTCATTAAATAGGGATTATGGCTCTGTCAGCCTGTTTAATTAGTCTGGTCTACTTGAAAAGCAGATGAGCGGCCGGTTATTTTCACAGCATGTTTTCTGCTAGGCTGTGGTGAGGAAATTAACTGAAACGAGGTCTGTGCTACAGGTAGACACAGAGGGACCAGTGTGAGTCCTGGGACACTGAGGGGATACATGAGAGCTGTGGGGACATGTAGGGCCATGGCAAGATGCTGAGGAGACATGTGGGAGACATGGAGACACCGAAGGGACACCGAGGGGGACACTGAGGGGGACACTGATGGGACATGTGAGAGCTGTGGGGACATAAACAGGACATGTGAGAGCCAGGTACACTGAGGCACACCAAGGGGATGCTGAAGGGACACATAAGAGCCTCAGGGGGACACTGAGAGGGACACTGAGGAGATACGTGAGAGGCGTGGGGACACAGAGGGGGCATGTGAGAGTGATGGAGACACTGAGGGGGACAAGGAGGGTGACACTGAGGAGACGTGTGAGAGCTGGGTACACTGAGGAGCACACCAAGGGAGAGAGATGCTGAGGGGACATCGGAGAGCTGTGCAGACACCAAGGGGTGCGCTGAGCGGACATGTGAGAGCCGTGGCGACGTGGAGGGGGCCTCCAAGGGGGACTTCAACGGTAACACGGAGGGGTTATGCGTGAGCCCTAGAGACGCTGAGGGGCGCACGTGAAAGCAACGCAGGCATCAAAGAGAATGCTGAGGGGACTCGCGAGAGCCGCGGGAGCTCCGAGGGGGCTTTTAAGGGAGCTGAGGTGACACGCGCACGGCACTGGGGGGCGCGCGGACCGGGGGCGCTGATGAGAGCGGCGACGGGAAAGCGGCGCTGCCGGCTGCTCGGCCACCGCGCGCTCTTCCCGCCCCCCGCCCGAGCGCCGCCCTCCGAGGCCGGGTCTGGGCGAGCGCGAGCAGGTGGGGCCCGGCAGTAGGGGGCGGGCGGCTAGCGGGACGCACGCAGGGAGCGAGCCGGGCGGCATGGAGACGGCGGACAGCGTGGAGAAAGGAGACGGCGGGGAGAAGGCGGGCAACGGCCACGCGGAGGGCGCGGCGGCGGGCGGCGGAGGGCGGCTGCGGGGCTGCCGGGGCTTCCTGCGGCGCAACGCGCTGGTGCTGCTCACCGTGTCGGGGGTGGTGGCCGGCGTGGCGCTGGGAGCCGCGGTGCGCGGCGCGGCGCTGGGCCCGGCGCAGGTGGCCTACCTGGCCTTCCCCGGGGAGCTGCTGCTGCGCATGCTGCGCATGGTCATCCTGCCGCTGGTGGTCTGCAGCCTGGTGTCCGGGGCCGCCAGCCTGGACACGCGTTCGCTCGGCCGTCTGGGCGGCATCGCCATCGCTTACTTCCTCGGCACCACGCTGCTGGCCTCCGGCCTCGCCGTCGCGCTCGGTTTCATCATCCGACCCGGTGCCGGCGCCTCCGCCCTCAACGCGCCCGGCCTGGGGCTGCCGGGCGCCGTGCCGGCCACCAGCAAGAAGACGGTGGACTCCTTCCTCGACCTCGTCAGGTAGGGCCGCCCCGCTGCCTCCCGCCCCGGGAGGATGATGACAGAGCCGGCGGTGTTGCGAGCTGCCGCGGGGGATCCCCCCTCCTTCCTGCTCCTCCCTCGCCGCTTGCCGGCCGCGCTGCCGTGTTACCGAGGTGTGAACGGAAGCGTTAGGCTGCAGATGCGGGGTTGCGCTCAGCACGGCGCCGAGCTAAGTCAGGGGCTTTCGCTTTGAAGCTTTGCTCCTTCAGCTGAGAGACTTGCTGGTGCATCTGGGTAAACTGGCAGTAAAAAAGGCTGTATTCAGAAATCCAAGTTTATGCCCTTCTCACCCCGTAGAGAAATAAGATCCGTGGACCCACCCAGGCGCCCATAGGCAACGCTATATTTCATATCCATAACTTACTCTCTTGCAGCTGAGCCTGACAATTCTTGACAGACCATGCTAAAGACTGTGCGAGTAGGTGGCCTGGCTGCAAAGGTGACATGGAGCAGATAAGCAGTGTAGGCATATGAAGGAAAGTGGCAAAAGGAGGAGTCAGAATGACGGTGACAGCTGGGAAGAAGGTGACTTGTGGTGTCCTAATGCAGCTGATGTAACTGGTGGCTCGTTTGCATGTTGCCATCCTGCACAGAGTAGGGTGAGAAATGGGATGAGGATGCTCCAGTGACCCTCTGGGTGTTGTGAACTTGCTTCTTGCTCTGGTCTGTAAAAGCAGATGGAGAGCTGAGAAGTGTCCTGCTGGTGGTGGGGTTGAGCTCCAAAGGAATGCTCAAAGTGATAAGACTTGGGTAAAGTGTTCTGGTTGTTGAGCGATTTCCTTTGGAAAGTGCAGGTCCGGGGGCCCCTCCCCAGTGCATGCATGGTGACCTTTGAATTCAGCTTTCTCTTCAGCTTTAGGGACAGAGAGCCATCACTGTGCCATCAGCTCTAAAGCTCCTGTCTTAACACAAATCCCTGATGAACCTGAGGATGGAATGAGCTGTGTGTCTTCTGGAAATAATACTTATCTCTCCCATTAAATTCCTTCTTTCTTTTCTTTTTTTTAACCTAATTATTCTTGAAAATGTGGGTATTTTGGTTTGAGTACTGATCTTTGTTATTTCAGCCTTGTCTTCAGTTAAGGAGGCCTCAGCTCTACAGGGCAGAAATGTTGCCTTCAGCACATTTAGATCTTGCAGCATCCCGCTCTGCCTTTCTGTTTTACTTTTGTTCCTCAATTTTTCTATCAGATACAAGGAAACTGTTTTCAGTTGTGTCAGAGGCTCCCTGTGTCCGTTGAGCCTTCAGTGTTTAGTTTCTTTCAGAAAAAAAGATGAAAAGAAGGTACAAGTGGGCAATCTGAGTCCCACAGCCACACTGAAAACACGCTAAACTGGACTAAGTCACAGCTGTGAGTCTGATAGTTACTTTGGCTTCTGTAGAGCTGACACAGGTTGTCCTTTCCCAGGATGCCAATCCTTTCTGCTTTTGGGAAGTTTATTAATGAACGACCAAAGCCATTGCTTTCCACTGTCACAGCAATGTCTGGAGGTCATTTGGATACTTGGCTGCTGCTGAGGTGTTGGAGAGGGCACAACACCAGTCACCAGCTAACATATTGTGCTTTATCAGAGCACTGTGGAACGAACAAGAGCAAATATTTTGCAAGAATCTGTATTGATTCGTCCACACTTCTGATGGGCACTTGTCAAGACTGCGTGTTTAAATAGGGCCAGAGTTTTGCTTTGGCTTCGGTCTTTATTTGCTGATTCAATGAAATCAAACAGTTTTGCAGGAACTTCTGATTCTGTTGAAATTTCTAATAGCAGATGAGCCTGGCATTTCATCTTAGTGAGATCAGTGTTTTGATTAAACTTTATACAAAAGACTTTAGTAGAAAGTCTCACTCATCAAAAAGGAACGTTTCAACAGACTATTTTACAATATTTTCAGTGGAAGAAAAGATCTCAGACGGTGCTGTTCTTTGCCTTATTTTGGGATGAAAATGTGTTTTGAAACCATGGGATTGGCTTTGGGTTGGGAATTCTGTTTTTGTTTTTAATCTGACCTTAGCAGTAACATGGTGAGTGGGATGGGCGTAGCATCATTGGCTTTTTATAGGAAAGGTATGCAGAGGTCCAAGATGTGTGCCTCCTGCAGTAGTGTCAGGGTTTCCTGGGATGACAGATGAGTCTGCAGCATTTACATTTTATTGCTCCTTTTATTGCTCCTTCCTGCCCTTTCTGTCTCCCTGCCAGAGGTTCCCAGCTGGGCTGCCAAAAGAAGTACCCACAGCACTGTGAGCAAGCCTGTGGATTACCTCCTAGCGCCGTCAGAGCCGGAGGGAAGGCACACAGGAGCTTGAGCACAAGGAAAAGCAGTGGCTGCGTTCTGCTGGCTGGGCTACAGAGCTGAGGGCTAGGATGGACCACAGGGAAGGTGGGCTCTTGTTCAGACACCAGTCACCCCAGTAGCACTTGTTGCTTCAAATCCTGGTTTTCCAGTGACTCACCCAAAGCAGCATCCATGAAGGCGATCTAAGAGTATGCTCTGAAGTCCTGCTCTGGAAACAGCAAAACTGTACTGTTAGGAAAGGAGGGGGAGATGTCAACTTCATAGTGATAACTAGAATTAAGAAGTGGCTGGGAGCAGCTGCAGTTACACAAAGACACGCTAACCACAGTACTGAAGCTGGATGGCTGAAACTTCAGGGTGCTTGCTGAAAAAGGAGAAATAGTACATGTTACTGCCTGCCTTTGCTTCTGTCATTTTCTGAGCCTGGATCCTCACTCTAAGTGTAGGGATTGCTGACTCAGTTCTGTATGTAGTAAGCATTTGGCTTTTTTGTTTGCGTGCCTACACTGTATTTTTCTAATATTATTTGTAGAAAGCTGATCTTCTCTAGTCCTTTCTTTTGTTCTTTGGTAGTTGCCTTTTACTACTGACTAACCCAGTCATGCTTTATCTCCCAGGCAAAGTAGTTACAGACTGGACCCTAAGGGCAGAAAAGAATTAAATACCTGCTATAAGTGAGTAACATTCTCAAGTTTCTTTGAGTTAAAGCAGAGGCACACGCTCAAAAATAATGTACAAGCACAGTACATCCACACAGGTATGAGAAAAAAAAACTTGTGTGGTAGTGAATGAAAATCCTGAGAAAGAAGGAAAAAGAAAGCCACTTAGTAGAGCAGTCCAAGCTGTGATGTGTTCTGGCAGATTTTCAGATGGCAGTAAAGTTGCTGTCTGTGGACTCTTACCATTGAAAAGACTTCATTGAAAAACAGGAGATAAAGCAGCACAGAATATTTTCCTAATGTTCACCTCATTTAGTCCAGACTTCCTCAGAAAAATGTTTTCCAACAGAAGACTTTTGGCCTTAAAAGTGGAACCTTTGTGTAAGAAGCAATAGAAGAGGAATGCATGTTATTTTAGGGTTTTGTTCTGCTCGCCTGGATTTCCCTTCATGGTTTTGCTGCCAGAGCGAAGCTGTTAGCAGAGCTCTAGCAAAAGAAACATTTAGAAACAGTGATTAACAATAATCCCTTATACATGCAACAAAGGAGTTCCTGTGCCAGCTTTATTCCACAAGGTAAGGAAGAGAGGAATTTGATTGTAACATCAAAATTTATAAGGATGGAAGCTACAACCTCCAAAGTGAAGCTGCACTTGCACATTTGGGATATATTGTGCTTTATTACAGAATGGTAATAACCCCATTTCCCCTCTGTAAGAGCTCTGACATGGCAAGATATATCCGTCTTTAGCATTTATATATGCTATTCTTTACAGTAGTCAAACAGAAAGTATGCTAATCCTGAAACTTCCGCAGCTGGTACTGTTGCTGTATGTGGTTCCTATTTTAAGTGGATTTGAGATGGTGCTTTCCTGTACTGGGCAGTGTGCTGGTACATGGAGATCTCGTCACTCAGCCCAGCTGCTGCTCCAGCCCCAGCACGCAGCTGTTATGTATGACAGCTGCCTGGTGGTCTGTCTCTCTATTTGATTGCAGCTCAGAGGGGTTGCACAGTCTCCCTCTATCATGTACTTGAGCGTTAGGCTAGAAAAACTTCTTGTCTGTGTAGGTGATGCGGAGAGCAGTGGAGCAGCTGAGGTGCACACTGCCATGATGTCAAGCCTTGCTACGTTGCATCATTCTGCTGCACTCTTTCTGTCACAGCTCTGGGCTGCCTGATCCCAGACCACGTGCAAGGCTCCTTATCACACAGACTCAGGGTTTCTTTGTGGGTGTGCTCTTGCAATAGCACAAGTCTGCTTTGGAGAGCTGATCATGTTCTTTAGCACAGGGCACGGCGGCAGTGTCAGGGCTGCAAGAAACAAGCAGCAGTAGTCAGCAATCCTGTGATAGAACCATGCTGATTTCTTTAAACTCCGTGTCCAAGGTGAGAAACCTGAAGATTTGATCTGTGCAAAAACACTGACTGGCAGATACCTGCATTTAGTTGGCATACCCAGTTACACACCCTTTCTGCGTGCTGGTTCACCTGGCTAGGAGGATGTTTGCACTTCCCTGTGCAACTCCTCAGCTCACCTGGGATTGCTGACTGTAGGGACAGAGGTCTGGTTTTCTGTGGGGCTGTGAGCTTTGCTTGGCAGCACATGCTGGGTGAAGCCCGTGGGCACAGATGAGCCCAGGCAGGTCAGCAGCCAGCTTTTGGCTCTCCCCGAAGCCTGCGGCGTCCTGGCCCCTGTTTTTAGGCACTGGGGTGGTGTTCTTGAACAAACCCGTCTTGGGCAATGAAGCTGAAAACCTGTGGTCTGACTCACCTGTAATTAAGGCTTAATTTAATTTGCACACTAACTGATCTTAGTGAGTGATGAGCATAGTCTTTGCAGTACTTGTGCCTCTGTGATAAGCCGTTTATTTGTTGATTGCTTTTTATGACCTGGAGCACCTTCTTTGTTAAACTTCAGGGTTTGAAACAAAGAGGAGCAAACTTGCAAGGGAATCTTTGTGTTCTCCTGGGCTGCTGAACCGAAATCCAAATGTACAACTTGATCAATTGTCTGAAATGCATATTTCAGTTCTCAGAAACAGGTGCAGTGAGCAGTGCTCCAGGGATAAAGCAGAGTGACAGTGATACGCTCATGTTTGTATAACATTGTGTGCTGCCCTGCACTGGAAGCAAGAACCTGCCCCTTGCCTTCATGTAGCAGGGTTGCTGGCATCGCTCAGTATGTGCCATAAGTATATGCTTGTTGTTCAGTCAGTGTTTAATTACTGGGGCCCGTGCCTGACGTACTGTGTAAATTATGGGCTTTTTGGTTCCTCAGCCACATGGAAGCACTGGAGAACCATATTCTTTAGGCTTTGGGGTTGCTTCTTGTGGTTTGGTTCTGTCAGGATGGAAATGCTGATTTTGAAAAAGTAATTTGATTTCTGCTCGTTTTTCCATCTCGTATTCTTTTTGTCATCTTTGTTCCTTCAAAACCCAGACTATTCTCAAAGAGAAGTAACCACCCTGATTTTGAAAAGCTGAAAGGAAGTATTCTTTCTTTTTTTTTTTCCCAACAACATATTTTCCTTTCCTTTTTTCTTTCTTGGGGGGATTAGCAGGACAAAGATTGAAGGGAACTCGAGTTCTCTTGGAGGCTGTTTTTATGCAGTGCATGGAACAAAGGATGAGAAGAAACTTCCCCCAATTCTTTTTGCCACAAGTGATAGGCCATAGGTAAGCTCTTCTGTTTTCTTATCAGGAGAATTCACGTGCATCCTTATTGCACTCAGCTGGCAGTATTCTCAGTTCCTAGCCCCAGAATTCATGTCCTTGCCCCCTGGGGTCTTGTTTTCTGCCCAGAGGTGAGCTGCTTCCCTTCCCATTTTGCTTTCTGACACAGCAAAACAAAATGCTGTTTGGCCAGGGGAACACATGCTCTTTACCCACAGCAGGGGGAGAAAGGAAGCGGAGCAGTAAAAAGAACTGGTGAACTATGAAATACAAGAAGCCAGCAATTTTTCTTTACGTACCCCAGTTAATAATTTTTTTTCTGTCCACTTTGCACCCAGTGTAAGCATTTGGCAGGTTGCACACTGCCCTCTCTGCACAGACTTGATGCTCCATTTGTGTTTGTATGAAGGCACTGCTGAGTTCAGATGTTGCAGCTTTCCATCCGAGCTGCCACTGCTTCCATCCATGCCATTTAACTGCTTCAGTGCTTGCAGACAGCTCTGGCCCCTGGCATTGTTCTGCTTTGGCTTGGTGTTCAGGGAAGCCGACCTTGTTGTGTTGAGGGCTTAAGCTGTTCTCTTAGTTGAGTTGTGCTGATTGGATTGTCCTTTGTGGTCATACTGTGGGCAAATGATAATCGTGTGGGTAACGTTAAAAATCTGCCTGACCCTGAAGGCCATAAGCTGTTGCTGCAGCTGGTGTGGCTAAGCCAGGTTGGGTAGCCACTGCTTGATGTGTTTATATAGTATGGTGTCTGATTGCCTCTGATTTCCAGCCTAAATGGGAGTGTGGAGGCAAGTAGGGACTTCTTGTATGAGCAAGAGGAGATGTGGAGATCTTACACCACTGGAGAAGTGGCGACACATCTGCTCCGTGCTGCCAGACTGTCTCCTGCAGTCCATACCTCACTAATGCCAGTGTGCTTCTTTTTGCAAAAGGAGTTTTCTGAGAGCAAAACACCTCAAATTCATTTTAGAAACTGCAAAAATATTTCATTTTCTTGTTTGTGTTTTACAGAAACCTGTTTCCTGCAAATCTTGTTGCTGCTGCTTTCCGAACGGTAAGAAATGTGTGTGAATTTTGGATGTGAGGTATACTGCAGGCAGACCAAGTGACTTCTGCTATTAAAAAAACAAATAAAACAAAAAGCACATAAAGATGGTGTAGAAAATATCAGAAGTCATACTATTTCTGGTGGGTGGGACTGTTAGAAGCATCTGACATAGTAATACATAGGAATTCCACAGCAAGTGGCGTGGTTTTGAACAATGCTCCTCAAGAAAAGGCATATTCATGGCCAGTGTTTTGTAGCTCCACCAGAAATGTTCTGTAGGCTGCTCCACTTTGAGCACTGCTTAGGACAATGATGGCAACTCTGCTTTGTGACCAGTAGCTTACATTGTGCCATGACTAGCTGGCAGAGCCGTACATGTTTTTAATGTCTCTCTTGCCATTTCTAGTAGTGACATACTGCAAGCACCACTTGCCTTCCACAGGAGGCAGTGCAACAGCATGATGCATGAGCAAGAGCAGGGTAGAGGAAAGGGGAATCCCTTGGCTGCTGCCCAAACCTGGGAGATCAGTGGTCACAGGGCACTTCTCTGTCCCCACATGGTCAAGGAGCTATCACTCTCTTTTCTTATACAAGGCAAGGTCATTTTTTCCACACTGTGATTTTCAGCATAAGTTCCTGATAGTAACCTCCTTTTTGTGAAATGCTAGGTGATGTAGTCAATTTTATTAATGATCATATCAACAAACACTGAGGTGTTGTTTTTTTTCTTTTTCTTGCAGTATGCAACAGATTATAAGATAGTGCTCAGAAACACTACCTCTGGAAATGTCACGTTGGAAAAGGTAAGGTCACTTCTTAGTGGTTTTTAGCTGTAATGTTTTACTGCACGTCTTAGCAAATACTTTTACTTGTCTGGAACTGAGACACACACACACAGGTCAGGTGAGTTACCTGCAGTCAAACAGGAAAGCAGTGATGGATAAGAGAGTTGGACTCAACTGAGCTGGTGCTCAATACCTGATTTTTAGGCCATGCATTCTTAGACTGAGCCTTGCTTGATCTCAGTATTGATTAGTCCCTCTGCCTAGAATTTCCCAATTTTTTATAGCCTTGAAATTAAGTAGCAATTAAGCTGTCTGTGTGTGTCCTTTAGACCTTACCCTCCCCTCCCTTAACAATTTGCAGAAAATGACCTTTTTTTTTTTCTTTAAAGAAAAAGTAAGTTGAGAATTTTCTCTTGGTGTCGAAACTTTGTGTGTGAGATTTTTTTTTTTTTTTTTTTTTAATTAGTAACAAGTGGTCTGAAGCGATACAAGTTTTAGACAGAACATCAGAAGTAGGCTGCTATTGCAGTGCGGTGAAAATTAAACCTAATGGACAAAATTGTATTCTGTATGCAGCTCATAGGACTTGCAGCAGTGCTCTGCAGTCTGGTAGTGAAATCCCTCCTGCAGCACAGGGCCATCAAACATCTTCGTTATTGACCAGAGCCAATATATTATAGATCCAGTAATAATTACATTCACCTTGCAGACAGAATGCTACAAAACTGACCCAGCATCTTGCCTGCAGTTTTTCATCTCACTCCGAACAGGCTTATGTGGGGTTTTGGGGAGACAGAACTGTGATGGGAAATGGCTTTTAAGGCTATTTTATGTCTCTCAGATTCAGTCTGATTGTCTGAGACACCAGATATATTGCTTTATTTTTATTATGATTTATAAGTCTCTAGGGCATGTCCTCTGTAGTGTTTGTATGTGTCCTGTAGGGATTCAGATGGGGCTTGCCTTCTGGTTCCACCAGTCTACATAAAAAGCAATTTGTGCACATCTAGAGGGACTCTGGAGCCAATCCCTTGGTGCAGGAGGTGCTGGACTCGTTACCTTCTCTCCACACATGGTGTGTGAGCAGGCAGTGCAGAGCAGTGTGTTCCCCATCTGCTCTCAGCTCATGGGCTGAACTTCTCCCAGTTCTGCAGCCAGGGTGGTAGGTGGCTTTGATGGCGCAACAAGAGCTGTGCAGGGGAAAATCAGTCCTTGCTTAGAAGCCCGCTATTGCATGGTGAGCGGTCTCACTGGGGAAGAAGGCAGCTGCATCTGCCCAGGCTCTGCCCATGCCTGTAAGATACATTAGCCCAGATCTGCACGCACCACCTCTGTCATGGGTGTGTGGGAATGACTGCAGAGCAGCCATGTGACTCCAGAAGCACACTTTCTCTTCTCCTGCTATTAAACCCTCAGGCAGTACATGCCCATGCAGCCTCGTGCTGCTAAAGCCAATTTTGACATGAAAGGCTGTAACAACATGCACTTAGGCAAAGTGTGGTTGCTTACATCATGAAGTTATTGTTCATTTAAGCAGGAGTAAAGGAAAGGTGAATAAGACTCCTGTTCATCTTCACTATAAACTGAAGATTAGGCAAAAGTTGTGCTCTTGCCAACCGAGTGCAGATCGGGGCCAGCCGTATTCACTGTCCACAGGCTCATCTGTTGAGCACTTGTTAAATGCTTTGGAAAGTTGTAATTTTTCCTCAAGAGATAAGAATGTATTTTTTGGCAATTTAAAATGTGAGATTTTTTTTTCAGTTTTCTTTCATTTTCTTATTTACATGACTAGCTTGATGCTGTACCACAAGTGATATTGTGACTTTGCCACAGGTGTTTGCTTTTGCCCATGGTTATGATGTAAATGTTATTTCCCCTATTACTTTTCCAAAACCTTTTTCAGTTTGTGGTGTGGAACCAGGTCTGAACTTTAATTCTAGAAGATACCCTCCTGTCTCCAGGGAAGAGTGGACTGAAAAAAAAAAAAAAAAAAAAGCATCATCTCAGTTCTGTTAGCTTTAGTACTGCTCTGACTGTTATTTATGGATAGATGAGAATTAAGTTTGGAAGGGAAGAGTATAGTTTTGGAATAAGATGTAGTTTAACTATCATAGCCATAGAATCTGTGTTGCAGAGAAGCAAGATGGAAATCCTATCTAATGTTTTCTTTCATCAGTGGAGTATTTGATAGAATAGGGGAAATATTTACCCTTTTCCATACCAACGATGCATAACAAAGTTTTCTATTGATTTTTTTTTTTTTTTTTCCTACTAATAGGCACTGCCTTCTGTTGCTGATGATATGAGTAGAGGGGCACGTAGATTCTGCTAAGCCACATTCTTTTTTGTTGTTTCACATGCTCCCTCATGTTTACCTAGCTTTTATGGCTACATCCTCTCTCCAGGAGGCCATGAGAGACGCTGAGTTCCTCCTGAGGCAGTAGTAAAAATACACAAACTGCTGGTTGCTCTTCTTCCTCACATCACATGGCTGCATTATCTTTTCAGCCACCTAGTCCTGAATTAGCTCAATGTCAGCAGTTGTTTCCTTAATATGCATCTTGTTTTAAGAGCTGAAAAACAATAGGATCTTCAGAGGGATTCAAGGACCAGAAGAGGTCTGTGAGTCTTTCTACCAGGGCACATAATTTCAAGCAAACAATAACGTGTTCTATAGTTTACCCAGCAACAAAGCTCTCATTAAAGCTGTTTTTGTTTGATGTCCACGATGCTGCTTGGTTTGGCAGCTCCTTTGGGGTGATGGACTCTTCTGTTAGAGTACAAAAAGGCTGTTCAGCATCTGCCAGTTTTTGAAGCTGGGATTGAGAGGATCTTCCGCTCAGGATTTACTGCTGGATTTCTTCCACTGCTGCAAGGAGGTGAAATTCCCTGAATACATTAGATTGCTCCTGAAAATTCCAGGGCACAACTTCTGCCTAAATTTGCAGAGATGTAGGTGATGGGGGAATACTGTGTGTTTTTAAGAAATTGGCTCAAAAAGAAGAAAATAAGCGCACGACCCGAAGGTAGCTTGGACACAATGACAGCGAATAAAGTGAACCAGCTAAGAAGTTTTTGGTGGCTGTACACAGAATCCTTTCTCTTGTCACTGAGAACTCCTTGGTCCGCAGATTGCAAGAAATTAGCTGCAAGGGCTCTTAAGTGTGAGTGCCTAGAAAAGAGCAGCAACAAAGATGGCAGTGCTGGGTGGACATCAGACATCTCTGAGGACAAGAGAGGACTAAACTCTGTGTTCTTGTTTTAGAGAGTGATGAGGTGAGGGAGTTTGGGATGGATTACCCAGTTTATGCACAGTAGGTCACTGTGAATGGTAAGATGAAAGGTGAGAAACCACGTGTCCTGGCTCTATCTAACTGGAGGTTCTACTGTTCCTCGTCCTCCTCTAGCTTCCCAAGACAAAATTTGGCAAGCCCTTTGGCTCTGAAGAAGGCAGAGTGACTGAATGAGCTAGAAGACCTCTGAACTACTCTAATCAGGGAAATGGTGTTCCAAACTGGGCATAAGGAGCTCTAGCTCAGTCCTGCTCTGTGTCCCTATATGCCCTACACAGCTGGTGGGAAGCTGCCTGATCCTCTTGCAGATTGAATTGCTGTTTAGCCTTGTTCCTGGGACCAGAGCTTTGAGAAGTCCAAATGGTAGCGGGTTGCTAGGCTCCAGGCTCATGCTGCTGCATTTAATGAGCTGGGAAGAGCAGTACTCCAGCAGAAGAAGTTTAAAGGGCAGAGATGCTTTGCAAAACATTGGTATAAGTAGTGTCATGAAATTCTCTGCTCTGGTAACATCCAGGTCAGGATGCCTGGCACTTTCAGCAGCTTGAAACATTGTGTTTGTGTTCCATAGCAGGGTTGGATACTGATAATTTTTTTTTTAAACTTCTCAATGAGAACCGAAACAAAAAGACCACTCAGTGTTTTTTTTTCTTTTATAAAAAACATTTTTTTGAGGTAGAAAAAAAATTGGACCCATTTTATTCCTGGCAAGGATTTTCATATTAGCCTTATATCAAGTGAACCTGATATAGAACCATTAAGGTTGAAAAAGACTAAGATTATCAAATCTGACCCTAACCCATCCCCATCATGCCCACTCAGCAGCAGTTTAACCTTCACACTGGTATGTTTTTGTGTGTAATTTGTTTTATTCCCTTCTGTGCAGTTCCTTGTTTCCACCTGTCACTTAGAGACAGTCGAGTTCAGCAGTATATTTCCAGTGAAAGAATCATCTCAGGCATGTTACTTTTATTCTGATCTGTAGCAGATCAGGATCCTGAGTTCTTTACTCAGTATTCATTTTAAGCTTTTAGCTGAGAACGCGCTCTTCTTTCTCAGTGTTGAGTTAGTGTCTATTTTAACCAAAGAACCAAAGCTTGTCCATAAGCCTGATCTGTTTTAGGAGCCCATCCAAATAAAAAAAAATTGACAGGTAGAGTTTGTACTGCCAAGTTGGGGAAAAAGAGTGTTTGTCAAAGCAATTGTATTTTTATGAAGCTAGGAGAATGCTCACTCAGTTCACAAGATACTGCTTTGCCAAACGAGTCTCAGTTCTTGAGAAGCAAGCTGTGAGCAGACTTGAGTAAACTCAATTTTGTGGATAGGTGGATCCTCTTTTTTTATTCCCCTGTTTGTACCATACAGCTGTGTGATTTTAGAGAAGGAGAGCAAGCAGTATCTCTTCTTTGTGTCTCCATGGCTGACATGGATTAATGAATGAGCAGCTTTCCTCAGTTTCCTACCTTTCTCTGCCTTTTTTTTCTCCTTCTCAGTTCTTACTGTTGACTGTTTTCTCATGGTTTTCACCTTGGTATGAATATTGCACTAAAGTAATGGAGCCAGCAGTTTTTGAAAAGATTCCTCTCAGATGTGTCAGGTAAATAATAATAGAGTATTTGGAACCAGACCACTGAAAGCAACTCTCAGATGTGATTTGTTCATGCAGTAGAATGTCATAGTGCCTACAACAAATGACACCTGGAATGAGCAGAGCTAGGAAGTCAGCGCAGCCAATATCTGCTATCTGCACCCACAGTATCTCACAGACCCATCATCATAAGGAAACTCAAGAAAGTTTCAATCTTTTAACCATTGTTCCACTCTTACCCTCTATTTGCGTGACTGCTGTCTGTATTGTTTCACATCTGCAGTGGAGCTTGTCCTGAGCAAACTGTGAGGTTTCCTATTCAGCTTGCTGAGAACGCATGCATTGTATTAGAGTATAAGGAGAGGTTGTGGCAGGCCCTTTCTCTCTTCAGTAAATCCATGCCAGCTGGAACCAAGGAAATTTTTACTGGGGCTAAATCCAGATCTTGTTTGGTTCCCTTCAACTGTGTAATGCATTTCCATTCTGCAGTGCAGAGCTGTCTTGGGTAAAATGCTGTCCTTCCCAAAATAGGTTTTGCATGTTGATTTTGGGTCAGCTAACAGAAACAAAACAAAGTGGCTCTTTTGTTGGGGTTTGTGCCAGTCTCACACCTACCAAGCCTTCTTATTTTGCCTCTACAGATCCCCGTTGGTACTGAGATTGAAGGGATGAATATACTGGGACTGGTGCTCTTTGCTCTGGTTTTAGGAGTGGCACTGAAAAAGCTTGGCCGGGAAGGAGAAGATCTCATTCGCTTCTTTAATTCATTCAACGAGGCAACTATGGTCTTGGTTACCTGGATTATGTGGTAAGTGTGGGATTGCATGTACATGTGCAATAGAATATTATGCTTAATTTAGGAATCTCAGTTTTTATTCACCTCTCCAGCTTTTTCATACCAGATCCCTCACTAGCACAAAAGCAAAGGTTATGCTGTTACTCTGTAGGGTATTTTCTACTTGTTTCTGACCTGTGATTAGATAATCATGCCTAGCTAGGGTATCAGATAGCTGCTAAAAATCCTGTCCTGAACTCCATTTTTATTAGTTAAAGAAGACATTTTGTTTCATAACAACATAAGCCTGTGGCTAGCTGCCATTGTGTGCCTAATGGTGTGGGGTTTCAGTGAATAAATGAGGTGTGAGCAAGGGAGGAATGTAGCCATGTGAAAGCTAGGGATGTGTGTGACTGGAGTGCATCTGCAGATGTGGTGCAAAACATGGTGCCAAACTGTGTACTTGCAGGTTTATGCCTTAATTTTTCTGTTGGTCAGATGGTTTCTTGTACTGACCTGAAACATACCCAATGAGATCAGAAGATAGCTCCACTCACTGTTAAATAGTTTGAGAAGAACTCTGCCAAATGCAACAGAACAGAGTGCCATGTGTCCACTTGATTCACAGAGTGACTGAGAACCTAAATTCCTTTGCTCAGATTGGTCTCCATCCTGCTGAAATAGTAATGCTGGATATTGAGTGTCCATCATCATGTTACCTGCAGATCTTGAAGTCTCTGTTCTTGTTCTAAGATTTTGTTTTTCTGGGTGAAGCAAGGACAAGAGATATTAGCAACCAACTGCTTGTTTCTTGCTTGTGCTTCTCTAAGGATGCTTCTCTCTTTCTCACTTCCAAGAGTAAGTCTTTCCTAAAACTGTTTTTCTTTCTTGCCTATGAATGAGCAAATCCATTATTTCACTCCCTTGAAGGCCAGACACATTTATGTTGTGAATGTTGCTCTGGCAGATCTCAGTTCCTGTCATCCAGCAAAAGCTTGTATATTAGCAACAAGGGAACACTGAATTTTTCGCTAGGCAAGAAATCAGCGGTTTCAGACCACCTGAGCTCTGGTGCAGGATCACCCACCAGCCTCCTGTTCAGGTTTTGTCTGTCTTGTAAGATGAGTCTAGGCCTCGGAGCAGTAGTGTGGTTCTTGAGCAGGTGGGAGGTTCTAGATTCCTCTTGTGGAAACCAATGGTACTAATACACCATATGCAAAGACATAAATGTTTGTGAGTACAGTCGGTGAACAAATGAATTATAGGGTATTTATCACTCTCTTTCTAAAGCTATTTTAGAAAAGCTATGAAGTTATCTTAGCAAAAGTGTATTTTCTCCATTCTTCATTTTTGATTCCAGTAATTTTCCTCCCTCTAAGAAAGAAGCAGAAATGTTTTGAGGAAAAAAAACAGAACAGATTTTGCATGGGCAGATCTCTGTTATTTGCTGTCCTGAAAGTCTGAAAAATTTGAAGTCTAAAAGTAGCTTATGTCTCTTACTCTTAAATGTAATTCCTTGGACACTGAATGCTGATAAGGGGCAGTTCTTGTACTCAGCTGATTACAGTGCTAACACTTCAAGCCAATCAGTTGGTATGTAATCCTTTACTTTGTGGATTATTGGGGCCACAGCTGCCTCTCAACACTAGTGCACTATAGTCCTTACTACTTCTCTTTCCTTTCTTAAGGTTCTTGTGCCTTCCTGATACTGATCCAAAATATGTCCAGCTGTGTGTACTTCCCAAAGGATACTTTGGAATTGGTAAAATTGTACCACCGAGAGGGGAGGCTGTGCTCTTTTGTAGTTCCATTCAACAGCCTTTCTTGTCCTTAGCAGCACTTAGGTCTTAACTTCCATTTCTTCTTCTCCAGCCTCCCTCTTCAAAGGGAAGGATCTAGCCACAGGTTCAAGTTCAGTGTTCATGTTCGCAGAGCTTGTACAGGACTGGGGCTCAGATAGACCTGGCAGATCTGGCAGAGGCTGAGAGGTGAAGTTTGACAAGTCCTTCCAGGGATTCAGCCAGTGGAGGCCAGAGCAAGGATGCTCACATTGATCTGGGACACAGTGAGGTGCAGAACAGAGGCGTTGCAGACCTGGTAGAGGCAGGCTAGGAATAAGTGGTTGATCTTGGCAGCCTGAAGGTTTGCATGTTTCCATACCTTTAAGTGCTTAACTAAACCTTTCGTTTGTTCTGGTTCCACAAATCAGTCTTGCTGAACATAGGCGTTGTGTTATAGGGGAGAGTGGGATAAAAGCATTCATTCCTGAGATGTGCAAGTGAATCTGTTGCAGCTGTTTGTCTAGGACAGGGTGCTGGAGATCTAGTTAGTCTGACCTTTTAGTGTTTCTTAGTTTTAGATGCAGGAATAGGTAGAGATGCTCAGACGTAAACTTTCCAAGTATGACTTTGAAGGAAATGAGATTGGATCTGGAGTGATTTCCATAGTTTGCTTAGTAGCTGTTATGCTGCATGTACAAGGGCAGTTCCAAGCCAGAGGTGTGGCTGTGGCAAATGCAGCCCTTCCCCCTGGAACAGTTCCAAGCATTTCTGACAAAGGAAATGTCAAACAAATGCTGACGTCCTGAGACATTTCTAGATAGGGGAGGTGGAAAAATGCATACGTGGCTGTTGACTTGAGGGAGGCACTGGAAGCCTGGTCATTGGACTTAGTGTTGTAAATAGCCAAGTTACTTGCTTTCTTTGTCAAGCGCATCAGCAGCCCTTAGCTGAGCTCTGCAGTATGGCTCACTAGTATAGGGATAGCTTTTTTTTTTTTTTCCTGCACAGAATGTGTTGGCACCCAGTATGCCCACCATTTTAATGACCTAACTTCATACTTCTGCTGGTGGTCACAGACTGCATAATATGCCACTCTTCCACTCCTTTCTTTGCTCCAGTCACATGCTTCTTTTTCTTTCCTAACATCTGCCTTCCCTTCAATAGTGACCTTAATTTTGATGTTTGCCTGCCTTCCTCTCCAGTGCACTAAAAGACTACCTGAGTGTCATGTTCCAGTAGGTTCAGACAGCGCTTCTACTTCTTGCCTAGATTCCTTTCTTCATTTTCCTAGTTATCTCTTTGAGTGTCTGGGAGATTTTTTTTTTTCAGTTTGACTGTTTGCCTTCCACCAAGCAAACATGTAAAAGAGGCCTTCCAAATTTGTGTAATCTGAGTGTGTGGTAAGTAAGGTGCTGACCCTCAGTAGGAGCGGCACGTTCTTTAGAAGACCATTATCTCTAGAAGGGAGAACATGTTTTTCAAGGTTTTTTTCTTTACACTTAATGACAGACAGTATTTGTTTATGCAGGTATGTACCTATTGGTATTATGTTCCTTGTTGGGAGCAAGATTGTGGAAATGGAAGATATTGTGCTTCTGGTGACCAGTCTGGGAAAATACATCTTTGCCTCTATACTGGGCCACTTCATCCATGGAGGGATCATTCTGCCACTCATTTATTTTGCATCCACACGTCAAAATCCGTATCGTTTTCTCTTAGGACTTATCACACCATTTGCCACTGCTTTTGCCACTTGCTCCAGGTGGGTTTCTCTGCTTCTTTGGGGAATATATGTGTCTGGGAATATACACTGTAATTGTCATTGTAAGCTACTTATATCTTAATACCAGAATGTGTTTAGTTTTAGGTGAAAATATTCCTAACATTGCAAAAAGAGGTAACTGAGCATAGAGTTTCACTGCTCTCAGCAGCCTGCTAGACAGGAAACACTTATAATTAGGTGTTGAAAACAATTCCTCAAGATATTGATAATGTGTAGCATGATGCTGAGTTGGAAATTTGGGCATGAAGAGGTGAAAGCATTTGTCTTAAGATCTTGCCAGCTTTCAGTATTAAGTAAAGCAAGGGGTCAATAGTGAGGGAGTTTGTTTTGAGAAGTTTAGTTATCCAAGTTCAGCAGAATTGAACAACAATCTGGAACAACTTTAGCCTGATTTTGTATGAGCAAAGCAGGTTTATTAGCTAGCGTAAAGTGACTTAGCATTTTTAATTTCAAAGATCTGGCCTTATCAGCTTTTATTTGTTGTAAAGAAAGATAGCCAAATTATCAAGCATGTCATTTAACCTTTTCCCAAGAGGCTAACTCTGGACCAAAGATCATGAATGTATAAATGAATATTTAAAAACATTTTGAGTCATTTCCAAAAGAAGCAGACACATGACTGTCACAGGAGCTGAGTTAAACATGAAATAGGAGAAGGTTTGTGAAGGAAGCCATACAATTTATAATGCAAGAAATAAATCCAGCAGTGATTGTTTCACTTGCCTGTCCATTTGAGAAGGTAATAGTACAACACCAAGAGATTACTGTTGCAACAGCTGTATTTATATTTTGCATGTATTGCTGTGTTTTCTGTTTTGAGACCTTATCATTCCACAGCTGTGTTACGCTGCATACTGTTAGGTCTTGAGTTCTTCATCTTGGAGATTAGAGTCCTTACCAGCTATTTCTGTTTAGAAGGAGATTATTGAATACTGCTGCTCAAGACCAACAGGGAGGGACATAGCTATTATGAGTGAGGGACTACAAAGTGGCATCATCATCTTGACACGCTGTTGTGCAGCATGTTACAAGCATGAACAGTCATGAGGCAGCGGATTTGCTACTCAGCACCCCTGGTGCTTTGTGTTTGACTTCTTTCTTGCTCTGTTTTTCTAGCTCAGCCACTCTCCCATCAATGATGAAGTGCATTGAGGAAAACAATGGAGTCGACAACAGGATCAGCAGGTTTATCCTTCCTATTGGTGCAACTGTGAACATGGACGGAGCTGCTATTTTTCAGTGCATGGCAGCCGTGTTTATTGCTCAGCTGAACAATGTCGACCTCAACGCTGGGCAAATCTTTACCATTCTGTAAGTTGCTTGTTATTGTAACCACATCCTTCTGGCCCCCAGATGCATTAAAGCCTGTGGTCTCCCTGTTAATAGCTAGCATTTATAGTTTGCATTCCATGTCTCTGACTTAAAGCTTGCAAACTGCTATGAAGCATAATGATAGGGTGATTAAAGGATGGAGTCTTGCAAGCTTTATAAGATCGACCAGAATCTCTGTTTAATAAAAGGTGGAACCTGGGAGGAGTAATGAAATTATGAAACAGACTTTGAACTGTTTAAAGCTGCTCCTCACATTGAATTCCTCTCCTTACTTAAGGATCTCCTCCCACTCCACTTGCCATTAAGCTGGGTAATTATGGCATGCTGCACTACCAAGAATGCTACCCTCCGGATGTCCTAGAAAATCCTTCTGCCAGCTCCCCAGTTCCTTTTGTTTCAGTTTCATACTCGAGACTGCTCCTGCATGCCTCTCTGCCCTTACTACCACTTCATCACTGGTTTCCCAGCTCAGACCCATGACCATCCCCCTTCTGCTCATTATGCTTTTCCCCATTGTACTGTACACTGCCTTAGTCCTGCTTCTTTCTCTAAGACTCTCCTCTCTATGCCTGGAACATCCTTGCAGGTCCAGTATCCCATGAATTGTACCATCCTCTTTCATTCCCTCCCCCAAATCCAATAATTGAGGATCTTACAAGGAGTTTTAAGCCCTCACTGTGCCAAGAAGTCATGGGCTCTATCCACCATACACCTTCTCACATTTTCTACCTTCCCCACCCAGGTTTTATTTCCTCCTTTACTGCATTTCTCAGAATATTGTTTGTCTATTTAAGGCAGGGCTGGAATATTATTTTCTTTGCAGATGGCCAAATTAGCTTTTCGTGTACTCATAGTGAGTCAAATGTTAACGCAAGCCTGAGAATTATCCAGTGATAGCTCAAGGGAAAAACAGTTGCAGACATCTTCACACCAAAAGGTGTGTGATTCATGTCCATTGCACGTGCACTGCTTAAGGATCTGTTTGAATGCAGGTGAGGCACAAAGAAGGGACAGTGCTATTAGTATGCATCTGTGGACGGCATACTTGGACTTTTGAGGCTAGATCTTAAAGCACATCAGTCCTGGTTAACACATGGGTTTTCATGCCTTGGGCAGAGCTTCAGCATAGTCCTAGCTCAGCAGTGGGATTGTGTTTCTCCCTGCTGTGAAGCTAGTCTGGGATACTTTATCCTCTGTGCATGGCACAGTTCACCTTTATACATTTGGAGAGTGAAGAAAGCATGTATTCAGCATCTTTGAACCAACGAATGACTTGGAAACGGATGTGGTATTAACATAGTGAGAAATAATTTGTTTGTTTTTTTTTCCTGTTCTGAAATGTTATTAAAGACAGGTAATTCGTTACCTTGGTAGCTCCTGTGGGTGTCTGCTGAGCAACTGTATTCTATATCCATTACTGTGCCTCAGCAGGCAGGAAAGGATTTGCCTGGGAAGCAAATGATCTGTGTGTCCCTCGCTGTGGAGTTTGTTTACAGTTCCTAAAGTAGGGAAATGTGTGACGTAAATGTAGAAGAGGAGTGCTGCAGGGCTTGTACTAACCAGAAACAAAATTGATTTGCAGTGTCACAGCAACTGCATCCAGTGTGGGTGCAGCTGGGGTTCCAGCTGGAGGAGTCCTCACCATCGCTATTATCTTGGAGGCCATTGGACTTCCCACCAACGATCTCTCCTTGATATTAGCAGTGGACTGGATTGTGTAAGTATTTCAGATCACATGCATGTGCTGTTACATGACATGTTCAGCTGGAAACACGGTTCAGGGTAATCCAAGTGTGGTATAAAATAAAACCCTACTAGTTGTGGCTCTCTGCAGTATGGGAAGCTCATGACAGGTGATGGAGAATGATGAATATGGTGGTTCTTTCTCAACTAATTTAGTGTGCTAAAATGCCCGTTCAGTATTTTTTACTGAGCCTTTATTGAATTCAGTTTCAAGTTTCAGTTCCCTCCAGAGGATTGTTAAGTTTGTTCAAAATATTGCTGGAAATTAGTTGGATATGAAGAAGGAAGGGAGAAAAGGAAAACAGCCTGAATAGTGATGGAAAACAGATGTGTGATGCAACCTTCACCAGAAGCAGTTGCCAGCTGTTGTTTGAACTATAACAGCAAGAGGCCAGTCACAGCACCAGCACAAGTGTCAGAGCAGGGCAGGTACACAGTGGGCTTGCAGCATTCATCACAGCTGTGTTTGATGTCCTGGCTGGAAGACGTTTCTGGGAATCACGAGTTCAGTACACAATATGACCACCTTTTCTTTCCATCTTCTGGGAAAGGTCTAGGAAGTTAGACCTTTGCTTGGTTCCTTCTCCCTCTCCCATTTTCCTCCTTGAAACACGAGCAATTATCTCCTATCTGGCTCTGTTTGGAAAAGCTTATTTCACCACTCAGTTATGTCCTCATTAAAGCCTAAATTTACTTTCTATACCACCTAAATCAGATTAAGGAAAGCCTAGAAAATTTACTTTAAGTACTGGGGAGCCAGCCAATAATACATGATGACAGTAAATGCAACATGCAGATGATTTCTTATTGCTTATATGAGCTCTGTGGAAAAGGGGCTCCCGGTTCTTCTCAAACAAGCCTGTCTGTCTGTAGTCTCTAAAAATACTAGGGAATTGAAAGTTTGTAGAATACTGACAAAAAATCAAAATGGGAAGGCTTCTCCGAGCACTCAACACACTTGTACTTTAAATACTGGTGAATTAAGCTTGATGTGATAATTTAAAAGCATACACTGCTTTCAGGCCATCTAGTTGGGTAGCGGGCTGCAAGTGCGGGTCAGCAATGGTCAGACAATCTGAATCCCCCTTGAGATTTTTTACACTTAGTAGTTTTGGGGGCACTTCCTCATTTAGATGTACATAATCTCTGCCTCTCTCTGTAAGGATGGCCTGCTCTCACAGAAGACATGGAAATTAGTTTGTGTGAGGGCAGTCTTGAGTTTCCAAGGCTGGGTTAGAGGACAGCTCTGTTATCTTCTTCCCTTCCTGCACCAACACAAATCTATGAAGCTCACTGCATAATTCTTTCTTGCTGTCACTACTTGGGTATCAGCCATCTCAGGAGAGACTGGCAAAGCAGTGGCCATCCCTTTGTGTTCCTTCTTCGTGACGAACTGCAGTGCTGGTTGTGCTTTCCATAAGCTGTATGTACTCAGAACTGCCTGATTGCATGACTGAAATTTGCTGTTTGTTCCTGTCTGGATTGCCCTTAGCCTGTGTCACGCTGGCTACTTCTTAAAATATGTAGTATCCCTCTGTGGTCAACTGTGTTGTTCTAGTTCAGGAATTTAGCCTGGTAACAAAAATGGGGAGGAGGGACAGAAGAGTCCTTTATCTTGTTTTAAAGTCAGACATTTAATTACTAAAGAGGATCACAGTCACAGTTACAAATTAAGCACGTGCTGAAGTTATGCTACAGAATGACTAGCAGAAATCTCAAGAGGCACGTGAAGTTGTTCTTTGAGTTATAACCCTCCTCTGTTCAATCCTGAAGCACACTAGAATTGCACTGTAGGACTAAAGATAGGAACAGATGCTCGTAGTGAGAAACGCAGGGAACACAGTCATTCTCTGCTTTTGGAAGGACACCTTAAATAGTTAAGTTACTAGATTTTCTATAGTTAAGAAAAAAAAAAAAGTTGAGTGTTATGAATTATCTTCTGGATAAGCCTAAATGAAATTCCAGCTCAGAACTTGCATTTGAAACAAGCTGGCCTGGAGAAGGAGAAGAAAGTGGGTTGGGAAAAGAAGGATGTCTGAGAAAAAATAGTAACATTACAGCAACCTGCTGAGAAACCAGATCCAGCTGATTGCAAGAGTTGGGATGGCTTGAACCAGTTCCAGTGCACAATCTTAGTTCTGAAATGGGAATAATATTTCTGTAGAAAATACCTACGGGTAACAACATCTTCCTTCTCTAGGTCCATTAGTATTTGTGGATCTGCAGGGAAGAATTTGGCCCCACTTACTGTGTTGTAACTCTCTTAAACTTTTTTTTTTGTTTTTAACCTTATCCAGGGACCGAACTACCACAGTTGTGAATGTGGAAGGGGATGCCTTAGGAGCAGGTATCCTCAATTACCTGAATGAAAAAGAAAAAAGAGAAAAAGAGCAGGAGCTAAAAGAAGTCAACGTAGAAGCAGTTGCTAACAACAAATCTGAAGAGGAAACGTCGCCTTTGGTAACCCACAAAAAACAAGTCTCCAACACAACCAGTACAGCAGACACTGAATCCAAGGAATCAGTACTGTGAACTAGAAGCTGTTGGTCAAACACGTCTTAGAGGTGGACCAGGGACTTGTTATTGCACCTAGACGTTTGCAGTGCTAGCAAGGGCTGGGCAGCTCTTGAAAATTTTCAGTTCCAGTCTGTTTTGAAATTTGCTGGCTTGGGGAAGGGAGGGAGGTGGGCTGGGAAGAAAAGGGGTGATGAGAAAGAACACACACTTTGTAATAGTATTTTGATAATTTTCCTATGTATACGTGTATATATGATTTGCACGTACACACGTATACATGTAGCTGAAAGCAATGCCAATTGAAATGTCTGGTTTTACAAGAGATCTGTTAGTAAAGGCTTATATGGGTTGGATATGGGGAAGCAGCCAACCCAGTAAGTGCTTATGGTAGGGAGAAATTAGTAAGCTTATTGTGCTGCTGTTTGAATGGAGATACAGTTCAGAAACTCCACAGTAGGTGAGAATGTTTCTCAAGTTTAGCTTTTGTCCTGGAAACTCTTACTGACAATTACACACACAATATGGAGCAACATTTTTCTCCCACTCCCCTTCCTTTCCTGTTCTCTGATCACTTAAAAACATCAAATATAACCTGGGAAGTAGGGTGTGGGTTTTTTTTTTTTAATGTCATATGTGAACAAGTCACGAGGAGGTCCAAATCTTGTTCCATTCCCCCACTACATTGCAGCTTTCTTGCCTTTTGGTGAGTAATTCCCAAACTCTGGGACCAGACAAAGGAGATATTTGTGCAGATCAAGGGCTGGCTTTCTCCTCCCCTCTTAGCAAGCTGTTGAGAAAAAAAAATCCAGAGGAAACACAAATTTTGTTAAAGTAATCCCTCTGGGGCTAAAAAAAGAATGTGGAGTCTGTTCCAGTATAAATATCTCTAAAAGAAGCTTGTCTGTGACAACATCAAGAAGTCAGTTCCCTTCATGAAAACACACATGCACGTTTGCTAGCACGCCACGTCCTGCTTATGTTTGTATAACGGGTCAGTCCAAACAAATTAAGTCATATCCCTTTTCCAGCAAAATTGTACAGGGAGGAAAAAGATGTGAACACACACGTGGGAACTGACAACAGACAAGTCTGACTGTTAACTTGAAAGGGGAAAAAAGGAGGTGAATTTCTAACCTGATGTAGTTCAGTGATCTTTGAGTATTGGGACAGCTGTATATCATTCCTGCTAGGAATTTGGTCTACTATAAATGTCCTTTTGGTGGCAGTTTACATTTAATTCTAGGTGGTGCTGGGCCAGGGTAATGCTAAATGGCAGGTGGTAGCCTTTGCTTGGGGCTGACCCAGGTGCTCCTGGATTCTGGCTCTACCTTTTTCCTCTACCACATGCTTCGTGAATTTGCACCCCCCAAACTTGCTTGAAGTCCAAAAAACATTGCAAAACTGCTGATTTCTCTTGGCATTTTGGTCAGGAGGTAGTTACAAAGTGATGGCTGTGCATACATGCTAAGATTTGCCCTGGCCTTGTGGCACTTTCCGTTGGCTACTTTAACAAGGTGAGTGCATGTGGTCAGTCCTCCATACTGTTAACTCAGCAACATATATTTACACTTTGCTTTGGTATACAATTATGATAAGTCTCCCCTTGTTTTTTCTCCCCTGTTTGATTGAGCTTCAGAGGAAGCTATCTTGAAAAGGTATCTGGTTGCTGATGTTTATGGTCACGGCATTAGGAAGAGGCAGCTCCAATTTTATAGCAGCAGCAGCAGCACCAGCCTTCATTTGCAAAGCATCTTTCCTGGTAAAGGGACTCGGTGAATTTTGCTAAAAGATGCTCAGAATGAGATGTGGCCACCTCTGAGGGAGAACACAGTGAGTGTGTTGTTACTGGCTGTTTAATTGTGTGCAGCAGCACTGTGCAAACAAAGTAGGCGAGGGTTAGTCAGCCCACTGCAAAACTGCAGGTGGAGTTTCTTTTTAACCAGTTTATTTATAATCATGTCCACAAAATTTGATCAGTCCTCATCTTGTTTTAAAAATGGAAGGAGACGGACATTGTTCTCTAGGGCTGTCCTCTGCCTGGTATTTACTATTTCATTTTTAGCAGATCAAGACCTGCTGAAACTTTGCATTTCCTCCCATTAGAGTCATCTCAACTCCTTTCAACTCAGGAAACCAGAAGCCGGCTTTGTAGCTGGCAATGAGAGTCCTCAGAGTAAAGGTATTTTGAAAAATGTTGGAGGTTTAAAAAAAAAATTATCAGGGTTCTCATCAACCCTCTTTTTTATAACAAATATTTAATGTTTCATGGAAAACTTTGACTGCACCAGAATGCCAGAAACCGTGATTTTAAAACAGTACGTGGATATTTTGGGGGAACTGAAAATCACAACTGTTCCCTGCAGGCTGGATTCTGTAGTTGGATTTTTATCTCCCATCAGACACTTAGCTCTTTTGATGCTCTCCCTCACCATGACACATGCAGTTCAGTTGAGGACACAAGAGCAGGCAGCACCTAAGTGAAGCGTCAGGCAAGATTTGAGAAGTGAATGTTTCTCAGTTTTGATTTTTCATTCCAAAGCTCGTGTTGCCAACAGATGCATAAGGGGTTTGTCCAAAGGCTGGGCTTCCTCACAGGCACCACCTAGCCACTGCTCTGCTGATATTCCTTCCCTGTAGTGCTGCCACTTGATTGTACCTTGTCCCTCTAGCGGGATGCTGTGGGATGTTCTTTCTGACAGAAAATGATTAAATTAAAGCCAGTTATCTCAGATTTGTCTTAATATTTTTCACTAGCAATGCAGAAAGTAAACATTTTTGCTGAAGAATGCCTCTCCCAGTCCCCATTAGTGAATTGTCATGTTCTGCATCAGTGCATGTAGTCCCATGTAAGGCTTGTTAGAGCATTTGAGCTTAAGGTCAAGCATTCCCATAGCTGGAATTTAACAAAGGAATTTTAACACTCCTCCAGCAAACAGGTGCCATAGGGGGTCTGTATGAGCCATTAAGTATTCAGGGCCAGTCTTTTTAACTTGCCACAAATCTGTAAGGTTACAAAAGCTCTGCTTTAGACTTACAAAGCTGCCAATTCTTTTGTTGTTTGCACACAGTGAGAGGGATCCCACAGTTTTCTATGGAAATACAAATGTCAGGTAGTGACTGCCTTTCAGAATATCCTACTGGTCTTGTTTGTATTGTCTGTGTCAGAAACTACATTTCTTGTTTTTCTATGATGTTACCATTGCATTTGATAGCCATGCCATGTATTCTAGGGCTCTCTGCTTGACTTCAGATTAT